GGCAGGGACACCTTCCATGGACCCTTTCCATTGGTTAGGGACACCTTCTATGGCCAGGGACATTTTCCATGGCCAGGGACAACTTCCATGGGCAGGGACACCTTCCATGGACCCTTTCCATGGTTAGGGACACCTTCTATGGCCAAGGACATTTCCCATGGGCAGGGACAACTTCCATGGGCAGGGACACCTTCCATGGACACCTTCCAAGGACAATTTCCATGACCAGGGACACATTCCATGGCAAGGACACCTTCCATGAGCAAGGACACCTTCTTCTATAGACACCTTCCATGGCCAGAGACACTTTCCATGGCCAGGGACACCTTCCATGGTCAGGGACACCTTCCATGGACACCTTCTATGGACACCTTCCATGGGCACCTTCCATGGGCAGGGACACCTTCCATGGACACCTTCCACTAGGCCAGGTGCTCCAAGTCCCATAATCCGAGGGGAGCTGGTCAATGACCTGAAATGCTGCTGCGACACCCACGAATCCATGGGACGGGATGGATCCATCCAGAGGGGCTGGGAGAGCTGGGGGAGGGAAGGAAGAGCTCATGGAGACCCTTCCCAGGCTCCCAGTGAGCCACCACCACCTCTCCCCGCTGGCAGCAGCAGAAGACACAGTGACCATGCCGGCCCTCCCTTCCCCCACCCCGGAGCAGCATCCGTCGGTCCCCATGACCCTCCTCCTCCCAAATTTGGCTGCTTTCTCCCTTCTTCTCCCCGCTCCTCTTTTTTTTTTTTTTTTTTTTTTTGGCTGAGTGATGAGCTGTATGCCAAATCCATCTGCTCCTGTCTCCCCTAGCTGCCTTCCATAGCGTTCCAGGATCCCTGGCAGCGAGCCTGGACCTATCTCTCTCCCTGCACTCTCCGGAGCACATTCCTTTCTACACCTTTTCCCGAGCTGGGATAGAAATGAGTATCAACCCCAAACAAAAAGCATCTGCTTTCTGCCTGCTGCTGCCTCACCGGCCGCGCCTGCACGCCGCGCCCGTGTCAGCAGCCACGCAAAACACACACAGCCCCCGCCCGCAGCCGCATCTGCGGGGATCTGGGGGGATCTGCGGGGATCTGGGGGGATCTGGGGGATCTGGGGGGATCTGGGGGGATTCGGGGCGCCGGGAGCTCCCCCGCGCCGCTCCGCAGCACCAGCTGTGACCACCGCACCATTTGTTCCTCCAGCCCACGCCAGCACTCGGAGCCAGTTCTTTATCACCCCAATTAGCCTTGTCTGAGCTGATGAGAGGAGAGAGGCTTCCACTGCAAGGCAGGGATGGGGGGAAGAGAGCTGGGGAGCCGCGGCTACCCGGGAGGCGATTCCCAGCTTTGTTCCCTGGGAGGGAGGGAGGGATTGCACCGGGTCAGGGGCACCGCTGCCACCCTGCCGGGGCTACCTGAGCCGTGCCGGCCCGTCAGCAGGTGCTCCATGGGGTTCAGGGCACGCAGTTTTTCGGCGTTTTTCCCCCTTTTTCCCCTCGTGCTCTTGGTTGTCTGCCAGAGGGAAAGGAGCATCCTCAGGCTTCACCCGCTCCCAGGGGCTGGGTGCTTCATCCCAGCCACGTTCCTGGGCGAGCTGGGAGGTGCAGCCTGGTGCTGTCCCCAGTGAGGATCTCCCTGGATCTGTGGCAGAGCTTCCAGCGGCCTCACAGGGCGCTGAAGGAATTCCTGCTTCTCCCACAGCCTCGTTGGAGAGCTTCCCATGTCGGACACCGAGCTGTCAGCGCAGCCATCAGCCCCAAATCCTGGGGTTTTCCCCCAAAAAAACCCCTTGTAGCTCTGTCTGGGAGTGCTGCTTCCCACCCTGGCTCCCTCAGGGCTGCTGGGAGCTTCTGTCCCTCCTGGGCTTCTGCTGGATTCCTTGGTGAAGGAATACCAGTGCCATCATCCCAAAGGCAGGAAGGGGATCCCTCCTTTGCCCTGGCACAGGCAGAACTGGGAAGAAGAGGATGGACATGATCCCAGTCCCGTGGTGGGCACTTGGCCTGAAGGGACCAAGTCCCCTGAGTGGGACAGTGGGACAGTCCCATCAGTGTAGGCCCAACCTGCTCCTCACAGCACCCTCCAAGGCAGCTGCTCCTTCACAGGAGGGTTCCCAGCATGGCCCTGACCGTCATCGGGGTCACCTTGGCACTGAGACACCAAAATGGTGACCAGGAGCTGTGGTCTCCACATGTCACAATTCCGCGGCCAGCTGGCTGAGCAGGTCCAGGATTCTGGACAGCCGGGACAGCAAAACCCCAAAATGAGTGAAACTACACTTCCCGACAAAAAACACCAACAAGGGAGCCAAAGACTGGTGCACAGCAAGGTTGTGGTTTAAGGTTGTCTTGATACCTGTAACCCACCACCATCTCCCTGTTCTTCTCCGTCTGATTTCCAGGTGGGAGGAGTAGGTTCCTCCTGATGGATTTCCGAGCAGCTTTCCCAATTTCCTGTAATTTTTCCTTGGTGCAGATGCACCCCTTGGAGCTCCTGAGGCTCTAGAGCAGATTTTAGTCCCTCCTTGATTAAAGTCAGCCAGGAAGAGACCTGAAGAGGAGGCTCCAGTTCAACCAGTCACCCCCAGTTTCTCCAACATCTTCCCAGCTTCGGGAAGGTGTTTGGGTTTGGTATCACAGCGCCAAACCAGTGTCTGTGACTGGTGGTGTCACAGGGGTCCCTGACTGGGTGCCCATCCTGCACGAGAACCATGGAATGGTTAAAATGGAAAAGCCCTCAGAGCCCATCCGCTCCAACCCAGCACTGCCAAGGCCACCACTGACCATGTCCCCAGGTGCCACATCCGTGTGGTTTTTGAGCACTCCCACCTGAGGCATGAATTCCAAGTCCTTTGCTCAGTCACCAGAACTATCCCATCTCCATCCCACCTCCCTGAACCCACCTCGGACCCTTCTGTGCAGCCTTGCCATGGACGAAGGACCCGTTCCCCGTGCAGAGAAAGGAGCTGTTTCCCCCCTGGACCAGGGGATGGAAGCTGGAATGATCTACAAACAATTATCTCATCTCTTCCTTCCGCCAAGGCAAGCTCAGCTCTGCCTAAACTATTCTTGATGGGTTCCCTGTAATTTGTGCTGAAAACTTCCCACCACAGACGCCCCACACCTTCCCTGAGCAGTCGGCTGCGATATTTTGCTCTTCCCACCAGGATACTCTTCCTGCTGTTCAGCTTGGATTGTGCTCGCTGCTTCTTGAATTGTGTCCCAAGGGAGCGTGAACACAACACTGCTCCTTCCTCCCTTCCCTCTCCCAGCCCTTGGAGAGGGTGGGACTGGGGGGCATCTCCGTTGGGTTTCTGTGGAGCTCCCCAGGGGCAGGCTGGGTTTGAGCTGCCCCGTTTCCCCAGCCCTGCCGGCTGGCCGGTGCTAACCCTCCCGATTCCAGGTGGGATTTGTTTCAAGGCACTGAATCCAGGACCGCTGGGGTTGGAAAAGCCCTCTGAGATGCCAGAACCCACCCTGCGACCCCATGCCCACCTTGGCAGCAGCGTGGCATCGCCCCATCCGGCCATTCCTTGGGCCCCAGGCTGGCCACTCCGCTTCCCTCGTTTGAACCCCCCCAGCCCCAAAACCCCGGAGCTTTTCCGCGTGTCCCTGGCGGAAAAACCCCCTGGCAAGGGGAGGAAAAGCTGCGTCAGAGCAGGCAGAGCAGAGCTAATCCTGCCTCGAAAGGGATCCGTCGGATCCGGAGCTCCTGCACCTTTCCCGGTGCTCTCCCGGCACAATGCTTCACTTTGTGCTGCGGCGCTGAAAGGAATGGTGAAGTTGCTAATAATGGCACTAAAAGAAAATATGCTACATCTGTTATGGATAGCAGTACAAAATTAGCTGATCACACCTCTGACACCCAAGATGTCTTCACTTAAAATACTCGTTGGCTTTACTTTACATAATTTGCTGATTATATTTAAAAGAAATACAATTTTGCAATTACTGTTCTTTCTGGTGTGCTATCTATGCATCATTTTCTTTTTATGTTTATATATTTCTCCTTCATTAGTGCAGTCTGAAGGGTGATTAGATCCCTTCAAACATTTTACAGAGGTTAAACGTTGATTAAGATTTAATTATTACTGTAAATAGCTTGGAATGACATATGGTGCAAAAACCTGACATATGTGCATTTGAATAAATGAAGTGCTATTTCCCATGATGCTTCAGTAGCTGTTTAACAGCTTTGCTGAAGGGTTATGTTGCACCTCATGTTAAGATTGCTTTGATGTTATATTTTGTTGGGTTTTTGCAGCTGAAAGCTAAGAACAGTTTTTCCAGTTTTTAAAAACATTGAATATTTTAAATACCTAAATTGTTTTGCACAAATTTTTGCTAATTTGTCTAACTAGGTTAAACATTTTCAAAAGCATTTCGATTTTTAACGTGGGTTCCTCGCATTGTGTCGGCACCGGCGTGGGTTCCGTGGGGAGGGTTTCGAAAATTCCAGGTTTTCCCAGGTGTCGTGGCCCGGCTGGGAGCGGGGATCAGCGCCGCGGATCCCTCCCGGGAATGCAGAGATTCCAAGGGATTTCAGAGCAAGGGAAAGCTTCGGGAGAAGCTGGCGGAGGGGAAAAACGAGGCAAGGGATGGAGATTTCATGGGGATGGAGAAAGGGGCAGGAAGGGTTGGGCTGTGAAGGTGGAGCCCAGCGAGGCTCTTCCCTCCTGGCAGCACCTGGGCTTTGCCAGGTCCAGCCTGGGGCTCTGGGAGCTGCAGGGAAGGGAAGGGAAGGAAGGGATGGAAAGCTGGGATGGGTGGGATGCGTTGGAGCCTCAGACACTCTATAATTCATTGAGCGCTGCCAGGCAGGGAACGTGCGGCGTTTCGTGCGCTGCAAACCCACCCAGCTCGGGGGGGCTGGGGCTGGAGCTCGGCACCCAGGCACCAGGGAAGGCGTGAGTGGCGTGGAACGGCTCCCATCTCCTCCTCCTCCTCCTCCTCCTCCTCCTCGGCAGCCGGCCCAGCCGTGGGTTCTCATCCCGCTGCTCTTTGCTTCCGCAGATCGAGACGTCCCAGCTGGAGCCCGAGATCGCCATGGCCACCAGCAGTAAGACCGTGGTCTACAACAAAGGCTTGTGAGTGCAAGAGGAGCGTCCCAGCCCGGAAAGTCTGGGGGGGAAGAGGGGAAGCTCCAGCCTGGGAGAAAGCAAACAACACCAACAAGGAGAAGATGAAATAATAGAGCTCAGTGGTAGGAGCCGCTCCCGGCAGCCCGGGAGCGAATTAACACCTGCAGAGAACTGACACCTCACACCACTCCTAAAGATTAATATTAAAAGTTTTAACTTAGCAACAGGAGCAGCAACTGCAACAAATAAAATCACGTCGAACCACTTTAGAACTAGCTAACGAAACTCAGAATCGCTGGCACCGCGTGGAGGGAGCTCAGGGGCGAGCTGGCGTGGTCAGAGCTGCCTGCACGACGCAGACGTCACATCTCGTGCTCATGGGAGCTCAGTCCACTGCTGCTGCACAGCACCAGCTCTGCACAGACCAAGGGCTGCGTGGATGTGATTGATCAGGGGATTGGGAATGCCCAGCGTGGATTTCTTGCTGATCCTGCCCCAGCACTCGCGCTCTGAAGAGGAATTCCATGTGCCCAGCAAGGGCTCGGCTGTGCCCCTCCACCCTTCATCCTCCTCCTCCTCCTGCAGACGCTGCTGGTGGCATCCTGCCCTTCACTGCGAGACTGGCTGGCCCTGGATCCCAGCCCTGCAATTCCACAGGGGCTTTTGCCTGGGTTTCATGGTCCTGGAAAGCCAAGGTGCCCCACAGGTGGAGTGTTGGAGCAGAAATGGTGCTGGAGCTGCTCTGTTCCTCTGCACAGCCCTCAGGGGGCTTTGTCCCACCCAGCACCCTCTGACAGGGCTCTTCCTGATCTGAGGTGCCTGGCTAAGCCACGCTTTGCTGAGCTGGTGTCTAAGGACAGGATGTGGTTTAAGTTTGGATCAATCCCCAGCTGGGCAGGCAGTTGGACAAGGAACATTGCAGGCCCCTTCCAATTGGAATTCTCTTCTCTCTTCTCTTCTCTTCTCTTCTCTTCTCTTCTCTTCTCTTCTCTTCTCTTCTCTTCTCTTCTCTTCTCTTCTCTTCTCTTCTCTTCTCTTCTCT